GGTTGGGTGACAGAGAAGATGACAGTGGGAAGGGAGCTCCTGGCCTTGTCGAGATACTGTGGGAGATGACTGACGCGCTGGCTTCACTGGCCCCTGCTTCCGGGGCCCAGGCTCTGACTGCCCTCTCTGTGGTTTCTCCTCCTTTCCTGGCAGGGCTTGAGGCATTTGGTTTCCTTGGATAATTTGTCTTTCTGCTTGGAGCAGCGATTTGGTGACTTTGTTTCTTTAGGGAATTTGCAGCTTCAGGAACCTGGCTTTTTAAGGATGAGGCAGCAAATTTGTGTTTCTAGGCAGTGGTTTCAGCATGTTTTGGAAAGGAGTTGAGAGAGCAAAGAAGGGGTACGGAGGGGTAGCTTATAGACCTTTCCCACGACTGATGGATTGTGAACTGATCCATGGTATCTTGGTGATGAGATGAGCTGGCAAAACGGGAAGATACCCTGGTGGTCCATGTAATGCAGAGTGACAAAAATGCCAAGGAAATTTGGAGGAATTCACTAAACTACGTGACATTCAAGATGTTGCAAAGAGTTGCACAAGGCCTCTGACATATTTGGGATAGAGGGGGGAAAGATAACCTTACAACTACTGTTGTCACCTATGGTCATGTTACAGAAGTGCCCGCAGAAAGCTTTGTCTCTTCGAAAATGCACAAAGCGAAGAGCTGCCCCCGCACCCCCCTCCCCGATCTCATCTGCCATATGGCACTTGTGACAAACCTACCTTGACAAGCGAGGGAGCCAGCAAGTGTTCTTTGGCCCCTCTGACCTCGTATAGAATCACACATCAGAAAGTATTAAATTGCATCACGTATCCTTGAGCGAAAGGAGAGGTTTTTTCTGACGTTGTGGCCATTGTGCAATTGTCGGAAGAAAGGCATTGAGCTTCTCCCATGTGTGGCTGAGTACTAAATTGAGTGTAACTTGGCAAGTGGAAGAAAGGCCTCGGTGCTGCCACAGGCAGCTCGGGCTGCATGGGTCAGTGGGTGGCGGAAGGAGGCTGAACTCGTTTTTATTAAAAGATGGGGAGAGAAGGATACTGCTGTTACAGAAATCCATCACACACTCCCCATGAATGCTGTGCTTACGTTTTGAGGGTGTGGGGGAGACAAGAATGGAAAGTGTGCAGAAGTGATTAATGTCTAGAAGGACACTGCGTGAAAGGGGGGAAGAGGTGTCAGGAAAGGGAGCAGATTGATTCCGAGTAATAATGCAGCAAAGGGTAAATGGCTTGCTTCTGTTTAGCCTCTCGGACTACAGGAACACCTGTAGGAAGGCAGCCCCTCCTGGTAAAGGGAGTGCTGAGATTCAAGGTGTGTAATTAACCTTGGGAACTTGCTGCTGCCAGATGTGGAGGCAGAAGTTTCACAGGCTCGCCACTGTGGGGTTCGCCACTGTGCCTGCCGTGCTGATGAGGCAGGTCCAGTTATAGCTGTGCTTGCGCTTAAGCCGTGGCCTGCGCGGCTCTGCCTGCGAGCAGGAGGCAGCACTCGCAGGTCGCGCTATCGGGACTGGTGTGGTCACTCCACATGAGGTGAAGTGGTCGCACCCCTGGGTCCCTGAGGACAGAGCGAGTTCTCTTGCTGTAGACGAGCGAAGGGGCTGCTAACCATGGGAGCATCAATAGCCGACTGTGGTTTGATCAGTACACTTCAGCTCTTTCCTGTTGATTGGGAAACCAGCAGCTTTCTTAGATGCTGCTCTCTGTCTCTGAAAAGGCAGAGAGGCAGAGTGCTTGGCTGTGGAGACAGTGTTTGTCTCGGTCCTTTTCCACAGTGGTTCAGAGGCACAAGGGCTTTTTGTGAGCTTGCAGAGTGGGATATTGGGATGCTGGGTGTGAAGGGACCGTACGAGCTCTCCCGGTGGCTCGCTCTGCTTTGTGCCTGTGCGCAGCACCCACTTGCTGTTGCACTGTTGTTCTTCCGAAAGAAATTTTGACAGCACCATACGGCTGTCGCTCAAGGCACCCCCTGTTCAGTCTGTGCCTGTCGACTCTGCTGGGCTCTTCTTCCTCGCAGCTCCCCTTATCTGTTCTGTCCCTCAGTCCAGGCTCCCTCTCCCTGCTGTGCCAGGCGGGATTGGAAGCTCTATCTCTGGAGCCAGGGCTGCCTGCTGTCAGAAAACACTGTCGTCCCTTCTCCCATCCCCGGAGACCTCTCTCTGATGAACAGCGTGACTCAATACTGGAACTAACTGCTTAGGAAGAGCCAGTAAATGCTTGCAATAGCAGGAGACACTAGCTGAGACAAGGCCTGGGAAAGCCCAGAATGAAACCTTTAGGCTTCTGATGGGGTGGGTGCCCTGTCAGTTGTGTAAGCAAGACTTCAGCAGGGCAGAGGGATGAACAGGGCCCTCTGGAGTGCCCAGAAATGCTCCTGGGCAAAGACAGTGAGACTTGGTGACTGGAAGGTGCTTTTTTTGTGGAGGAAAGCTGCTTTGTCCAGGTGGAGAGTGAGGGGTGCTGCTTGTTTCCCAGCAATGTCCCTTGTCACCTGAGCTACAGGTTACAGGGCTGAAGGTAAGGCAGTCCCTTGCCTCCCACCCCATGTCTGACCACAGGGCACACACAGAGCTTTCCTACTGGGAAGGTGTCATGTTGGCGGTGGGTGGCGGGAGTGGAGAACCTGCCCTTCTGCCAAGGCTCTTGTAGGATGCAGCAGGTCCTTACCAAAGCCTCCCGAGGAGTGACTCTTCCCCCAGTTGAGTTGCAAGAATATTGAGGCAGGAGGTGAGTGAGGCAACCTGGCGGGGTGTCTGAGTCAGAGCTGGAAATAGACTCCAGGAGTCCCAACGCTTCATCTTCCTCTCACCACAAAGCTGCCTTTCTCCCTGCCCTCCATCTTGGAGGGAGTTTGTGCAGGTCTTGCTCAGCATAGCGTGGAGGTGGCAGAGCCAAGGTGGGAAGCTGGGTGATTGCTAGTGTCTGAGCTGTTTGCTTGGCCAGTTTTCCCTTGGGAAGCACCTAGGGAACTGCCCTCTGTCTCCTCCTGGCTTGCTCACATTAGAGAAGGGGTTTTTGGCATCTCAGCGAAGTGGAGCACAGCAAGGGTGCTTCTCTCGGGAGCCACGCCTTGGTCACGGATGCAGCCAGGCTGCGGGGAGAGGGTAGAGGCAAAGTACAGGCAAGATCACCCGTTGTTGCCTGCTCTCCGCTCTGATCAAGGCAGCTCTCGGTCCCAGATGTGTTCGCAGGCAGGGCTGGAGGCAGCCCCACCAACTGAGTGCACATGGCTCCTTCGGTGCTTAGCGAGGTGCCGGCACCCAGCTAGCCTTTCCCGCTGTGGCGCCGGGGTCCTTCCCGGCATCTGTCTCCAGCGCCGTGCCTGACTGATGGTCTGGGAGTCTCTTTGGTTCACTCTCTTTACCTCCTTTCTCCAGGGGTGAAAGATGGAAGCTGGACTGTGCTGCAGCTTGTGGAAGCCCTGGGGTAAGAAAAGCCTTATACATGTTATACATCGCCTAAGGGCCTTGCAGGGGAAATTCCTGCAAGGAGGGACAGTGAGAAGAAGAAGTGTGCATGCTTGTCCAGGACGAGGTGGCTTCAGCACTGGTAGACACACCACAGCACACAGGCCTTGCAAGTATGTTGTCCGCTCACAGCACAGCACCTGAGCAGTGCTTTGCCCTCCCAGGACTTGGGAGCTGTTTGGGAAAGAGCAAGGCCAGAGCAGCTCTTCATGCTCTCCCAGGACTGAGGAGAGGTGTTGTGGCAGGCAGCGAGCCGCAGGGCACTTCTCAGTTGGGACTGTCCCCAGCAGGAGCTGCCTGAGTAGACAGCTGCACATCACCGTGTCATAAGTTGGCTGGCACTCAGCTTTTGCTTCTGTCTCCGAGCTCTTGTGGCCTGGGACTCGGGGAGGCTTGTTTCTCCCAAGCTGGGGGCTGGGTTTGCCTCGTTGTGAGAGGCTTTGCCATTTTTTGGCCCTTGTGATCTTGGGAGCCTGAGTTTCAGGTGCAGAGCGTGGTGCAAGAGCAATTTCATTGGTCTGACTTGAGAACTTGGATTTATTGCTGCATGGCTGTGGGGCCAGATGCATGCATGCAGCATAGTCAGGGGAAGAGGAGTCTGCTTCCAACCTGCCGGCAAGTCAGGCAGGACTGAGCCACCCCCCCCCTGCCCAGAGAGCGGCACCTCTTTGTTTTTATAATGTATCTGCTCAGGATGTGCTTTCTGCTTGGGTGTCCCTGCTCACAACAGGCCTCTTGGGCTTTCTCCCGACTTGGGCTAGGTCTTGCCTGGAGAACACAGATCCTCGGACGCGAGGGCGAGGCATCCAGCTGCTGTCACAAGTCCTGCTCCAGTGTTACTCCCTGCTCCAGGAGAAGGAAGGTAGGGGCTGCTCTGGGCCATTGAATGGCTGCTGGCAGGTTGGGGGCAAAGCCTGTACCACTCAAGTGTCTGTCCTGCAGTTGGCAAAGGGATTGATTTAGCACCGTGACAACTTCGTACATGTCTCTCAAGAGTCAAAGTCCAAGGAGGGCATGGGGCCTCACGCTGCAGCCTTTTTGCCAACCTCACCACACAATTCGGGTCACTCCCTGAACACGCCAAAGCCCTGGTGCTGCAGCGGGTGCCCCCGGCAGTGTGTGGGCGTTGCACACCCAGGTGTGCTCAGCGCCACGTGGGACGCCTTGGGGACACATCTGCATGTCAAAATCCTTGGGTGGTGATTCAGTGCAGGAAAACCATCCTTCACAAAGCGAGTCATGCCGCAGCCCTGCAGCCTGCCCAGGTTAACTCTGGGGGAACCCTGGGGCCTGGGGAGGAGAGGAGATCAGCGTAAGGATAAGAATAGAGTGGAGGACCGGAGTGGGGAGAGGAAGATGCCCCATTCGAGGAGGCAAGGAGAAGGTTTGGCTGTGTTAAATGCCCCATGGCAACTGGCTGGCAGCAGGGGAAGCCAGTAAGTGCTGCCAAACTTTGACTTGGACTGGGGGCCTTGCTGATGGATAGCTGGTGTGCCAGCAGGCTGGCAAGGCAGGGGGGGCCCAGCTAGTAAGTGAGGTAGAGGAAGGGAAGGATGGAAGTAAAAGGTGCTTAGTCCTTGGTGCTTGGCTCTCTAAGTTTCAGACTGGTGCCAGGCAGGGCCAAGAGCAGCTGTGCAGAGAGAGTACAGACTAGCTACTGGTGTAGCTGGAGTCAGGTGTGATGACTGTGATGGGGACTGGGGTGCTTCCTGGGGGACAGCTGGGGGTGGGGAGGTTCAGTGGGGAGTCAGGGCAGCTGGATGAGGGGAGCGAGCTGGGTTAGAGCCAAGTCACCAGGAGCTCTGGAGGAGGGTGGGCAGAGCCACCTTCCCGGGAGGGCACAGGCAGCTGCTGTGACACCCCCAGCTGGCCCCATCTCCCTTCCTGTCCCTCCCTACCCAGTTCATTTCTCAAGTGCTGCGTCAGGCTGCCTCCTGGGGGGGTGAGTTTCTGCAGCAGCTGTGGGCGCAGGATGCTGCTAGCCGGCTCTTCCAGTCTGTTTCCTGCTGCCACTCCCCAGGGCCGGGGTGTGCAGGCGCCCGTGGCCGTGACTCAGGGGCCGGGAACGTGTTGTGGAGCCAGCGCAGGGAAACCGGAGCTCCTGCTCCAGCCCTGTGCCCCACCCCACGACATCCTCCAGCCTCGGCTGAGCAGGCGTCTGCCGCTTCACTGCTCGTGTCTGCACCCACATGTCTGGACAGGATAGGGCAAATGCCTCTCGGGTAGCTCCAGCCCCTCTGCAGCGGCCAGAGGTGGGTGCTGCCCCGCTGCAGTCAGACGTGGGTTGCTCACGGGGGGAGGGCGAAGGTGTTGGAGCCAGGTGGGTGCACCCAACAGTGGCAGTTAATCCCATTCACCAGTGCAAGATATGCTTGCTGTTCATCCAGCAGCTGCTTTTGGCAGAGCTGGGGCCGGTGCCCGGCAGCTGCATTTCCCGGGACTAACGCACGTTGCTGTCTGTTTCTGACAGTGCTGCATCTGGTCCTGTTCTATGGGAATCGGCTGCAAAATCAACACCCGTGATCCCCTCCGTGCTCCAGGGACTCCGAGCGCTGGTGAGCTTGCGCCCCCAGCCCGCAGTGTCGGGATGTGCTCTAGTGGTGCCAGGGAGATGCAACACCTGGGTACAGGTTGGAGCAGCACGTCAAGCGGGGCCCGGCTGGGCTGTCAGCTCCTGCCTGGTGGCATTGCCCTGTCTTCTCAGTGCTCCTGCTGTGCCCCTTGCAGAGGGGCAGGAGGGAGGAGACTGCCTTGATTTCCTGCCCCATGCTGGTATTGGGGCAAGGGTTCCCTGGCCACCCTGGGGAGCAGCGTAGGCGATGGGTATCCTGTCCTGTGGGGGTGGTGAGCTCTCCCCTGGGTAAGAGAGGATCCTGCAGGTGGCCGCTGTACAGAAGCAGGAGCTCTGTTTTATGTCTGCCATCATAGTTTTCTCTTGTTGCTTTTCTCTTTTCCTGTCCCCAGAGCATGTGTGAGGTGCTGTCCCCGGGGTTAGCGGTGTCTGTGCTCAAAGCTATCTTCCAGGAGGTACACGTGCAGGTGAGCAATGTGATTTTCCATCCTCCTGTTCCCGCTCTCCAGGTGTCTGGGGATGGCCTGCCTGCCCTGAGGACTGAGTGCAGTCAGTGGCAGTGCAGTGTGGCACATCCTTCAGCAGCAGTACAGTGCTCCTGTGGAGCTTAGAGACAGTGCGTCTCACTGCAGAGCAAGAGGCAGACAACAGTTTGGCCCTTGTCCTCTCTTCTCTCAGCCCTGGGGGAGTTATTTCCTTTGCTCTGTTCTCCAGGCTATGTTTAAGTGCCCCCAGCCCCCAAATTCTCCTGCAATTTAAGATTGTTTATGCTGGCAGGGCCTTGGGCAGCGTGTGTGGTCCTGTTGTGACTGTGGTGGTGCATTCATGCAGTGATGGACACAGTCATGTTCAGGTGCCATTGCATAGGCATGTGCACGCTTTGCATGTGGTAAATGGGATCTGCGTGCCAGGAAGCAGCAGCTGAGCTGCTGGGCATCCTGCCCTCTTCTCAAGGGCATGCACTGCCCTTGGGTGGTGGGTATCAGTGCTGCCATGTGCGGAGGCTTGTTTTTAATCGCTCTGCTCCTCCCTCCAGTCCCTGCTGCAGCTGGACCGCCACACAGTCTACAGCATCATCACCAACTTCATGGGCACCAGGGAGGAAGGTGAGGGGGCAGATGCCAGAAGCACTCTGGGGTTGTCCAGGCTGGGAAAATGGCTCACTTTCACCTTCTCCGAGGGCTCTGTGGCTCTGCCTGGGGAGAGCTGGAAGGGCTGTGGGGCTAGGGAGGCCAGACTGGTTTCATGCCATGTTGGTGAGGTCTGGTGTCCTGCACCTGCTCATGCTCCTTCTTTCTGCAGAGCTGAAGGGCCTGGGTGCCGACTTCACCTTCGGCTTTATCCAGGTGATGGATGGGGAGAAGGATCCCCGCAACCTGCTGGTGGCCTTCCAGATCGTGCATGATCTCATTACCAAGAACTATGCCCTGGGTGAGCCTGTGCCTGCTGTGCGGAGCTGATCAGGGAACATGTCGCTTTTCTTTGAGCTGTTGGAGGGATGGCTCTTGGGTCTGACCAGGGCTGAGGTTATCCCTGACATGCTTTAGGAGCTGCAGAGCCAGCCTGCCATGGGTGCTAGGCATGGCTGCTGTGCCTCTTTTGCCCAGCATCTCTGCTCACTCCCTCTCTCCTCACCCTGCAGGTCCCTTTGTGGAGGAGCTGTTTGAAGTGACGTCCTGCTACTTCCCCATTGATTTTACTCCAGTGAGTGAGTCTGCCCTGTGCCACAGTCTATTCCTTCCGGTGTTTTCTCAGGGGGTCATGTCCCCTCCAGGGAATGGGAGGAGAGGGTGGGCAAGAGTCTTGGCTGGGCAGTGTTGAGCTGCGAGCTGTGGTACCCAGGCTGACAGGCTGGTGCCAAGCTGGCTGCAGTGACTGACATCGCTGCTGCCTTGCTGGAGATGAAGTGATGCGGCCTCGGCTGATGGCTGGTTTGGGAGGTTTCCTGACCGGTGACCTGCTCTCTGTGCTTCCCTTCCAGCCCCCCAATGACCCTCATGGCATCCAGAGAGAAGACCTGATCCTCAGCCTCCGGGCTGTACTGGCCTCCACGCCCCAATTTGCTGAGGTAGGAAGCTCTTAGGGGGTTCTTGAGCACCCCCCTGTTCCCTGAGCACATGCTGCATTTCATAGCGCTGCAGCTCCCGCTGTAGCTCTGTGGGATGGGAACAACTTGGACCAGGAGCCTGCACTAGGGCAGCCCTGTCTCCTGCTGGGGCTGGGCATGGGGAGGGTGCTGACACTCTGGGAAGGGGCTGCCTGTTGCAGGTATCCCTCCACCTCTGCTCTCCTGACAGAGGCTGAGCTTGCAGCCCTGCAGGGCCACAGACAAGGTGGTGCAAAGGTGGGCTGAGTCTAAGTGCCTCTCTCTGCAGTTCCTGCTCCCTCTGCTCATTGAGAAGATGGACTCAGACCTGCAAAGTGCAAAGCTTGACTCCCTGCAGACTCTGGTAAGGTGGAATCCCCTACTCCCTTCAGCCCACAGCTGGCCTGTGGCAGCGGCAGCCAGCCACCTC